GTCATATAAGTTGACATGAACATGGCTGAGGTAGAAGGAAACATGAAAACTCAGTGCTTCTGAGAGGCAGGAGGCACAGCCATACAGGGAGAGGGATCCCTTGCTATAAAGACTGTGAGCCCCCAGAAATGGGGGGACTCTGATTCATAACTAGGGTTACAGCAGCATAGACAGTTACTCATTTAACCATTGCCAGCACATCCACTAGAGAAGTATCTTCATACATGAGAAATTATTCAGGAAATCATTCAGCTGTAAAAGGACTTCAGCAAAGTTCCATACAGGGAAAGGGAATTCAGGATTCCTTTTCTTTATAATGCTGTTTGTATAGTCATTTGATAAAAAAAATTTGCTTACAAATATACCACCATATTTTCTAAAAGATATTTTCTAAAATGGTATGCTTTGCCTTTCAGCAATGGGGCTGCTTTTTTGAGACCCTGAGTATCTGTAAACATAAATTAAGCTTTCTTCTTAGAAATCATCCAGAAACCAGGTGATCCAAAAGGAAACTATAGAAGAATGTCTGATACTGTTCATATTAGAACCCCAGAAATGCTTTTAGAGCCCCAGGAATATTTGGAGTTCATTATAAAGCATCATTCAGACCCAAAGTATCATCTGTGATTAATATCTAAAGCCCAAATCTTATTTTGAACAAAAAGGTGCCATTCTGTCTGTTTGATTCACAATTACTGGCAGTTGAGTAAAGAGCCTAGACGATGCTTTCAAGTTAGGTACAGCTATTGTAATAGAGGAGAAGCTGGGGGAGGTGAAAATCTTCATTTTTGTGCCTGTGACAAAATCCTCAAAGTAAAGCAAAGGAAGCACGCCTTATTTAATTCTGACACCATGATGTTTTGGAAAAAAGTTATCTGAAGTGACTCTCCAGATGTTTTTTTAAGGGCATTAAAAGCATTGTTCAAGTCTGACAGCATGAGGTCTCCCACTCAGATTTGTAATTTCTCCAAAGTAAGGAAGCATCTTTTTTAATCAAAACAAGGCAGTGCATTCTATTGTGTGTGACTGGTAAGAACAGGGACAAGAGCAACTGAACAGTGGGCCACATTTTTTGGAAAGTTGAGACAAGCAGGACTGAGGCTATTAAAAAATAAATAAATAAATAAAAGACATCGAAAATGCCTAAAGGCAAAAAAGTCCATGATACTAGCACAGATTTTTAGGTGTGTGAGTACATCTGGGCAGCCCAAGCCACTGACCCGACTTGCTCTACCCAGAAAGAGAAAGACCCCCTACCTCAGTAGAGAAAGATGGTAGTTCAATTAAACAAGATGCCTGCATTTGATAGAAATCCTGTCCAGGGCTTGGAAAGGGAGACCCTTTCCCTCTGTTCTGGCCAGAAGGCTGGAGGCTACTGCGAAATATAATAATTATAGGACCAACACATTTAGCATTTATTGTGTTCCTTATAAGAAGAGAACCGAGCCGGGCGCGGTGGCTCACGCCTGTAATCCCAGCACTTTGGGAGGCCGAGGCGGGTGGATCACGAGGTCAAGAGATCGAGACTATCCTGGTCAACATGGTGAAACCCCGTCTCTACTAAAAATACAAAAAATTAGCTGGGCATGGTGGCACGTGCCTGTAATCCCAGCTACTCAGGAGGCTGAGGCAGGAGAATTGCCTGAACCCAGGAGGCGGAGGTTGCGGTGAGCCGAGATCGCGCCATTGCACTCCAGCCTGGGTAACAAGAGCGAAACTCCGTCTCAAAAAAAAAAGAGAAGAGAACCTACTTGTAAGTGCTTAACATGTATTTACATTTTTAGTCCTTATAATAGCTTTATGAGGTTGATACTATTATTATATTTTCAGATTAGGAAATTAAGCCACAGAGAAGGTAAGTAACTTGCCCCAAGTAATTCAGATTGCAATGTAGCAGAGCCGGGATTCAAGCAATTAGGTTCAGTGCCTGCAGACTTAACCACAAGGGTACATTTACAGCAATGACATTGTTAGTGTAACAGAAAAGCATAAAATCCTAACATGTATCAAAACAAGGATCGGGGTAACATGCAACCATGAAGAGTAATGGGCATCTAGACTACTGTTAGCAGCTTTGGTGAAAACAAAGCAAGGGCTGCTTTTTCTTCGACTACACATGTAGTGCCATCACTTAGAAGGTAGAGAAAGCAATTCAGGGTCTAGACCAGGCGTCCCCAGACTTTTTACACAGGGGGCCAGTTCCCTGTCCCTCAGACCGTTGGAGGGCCGCCACATACTGTGCTCCTCTCACTGACCACCAATGAAAGAGGTGTCCCTTCCTGAAGTGCGGCAGGGGGCCGGATAAGTGGCCTCAGGGGACCTCATGCAGCCCACGAGCCATAGTTTGGGGACGCCTGGTCTAGACTCTGGACACAATTCTAAGCAACGACCATCTGATTTGCCCCACTGAAACGATGATAACAGTATCATCCTATGATATACCCTAGGGCAAGGGTTCTCAAACTGGCATACTGAAGGCTCACTGGGAGAGCTTGTTATAAAAGTGCATATTTTTGGATAACACTACTAGTTTCTGATTTAATAGGTCTGAGTCTACATTTTTGACAGGCAGCTCCAGGTGATTCTAATTCATTGGATGGAGGAGAAAGCTTTGACAAATACTGGGCAAGAGTCTAAGAAATCAAATTTAAAAGGGTGTGATTCCTTTATCTAAAAGAGACAGCTTTAAAGCAATTCAACCCCTAAAAGGCAGAAGACTGCCAAAGAATAATATCTTAAGTGCAAAACAAAAAAGAATTCCAGTGAAATGGAGTTGCTAAGGAGGCAACAAGGTTGTGTATAATTATACAAGACACCGGATATCAACCCTGTACCTAAGTTCTCAGATTCTGCAATATATAAGAAGAGAACTATTGAAAGTGGCATCCAGTAATCCAATATGGGAGAGCTAGTATGTGAAGCTGTAAACTCTGAAGAATTTCAAAAGAAGCATATGAGAGCATGGGAAGCCCTGGAAGCCTCCCACCCCGGGGTTGGGCAAAGCTGCTGCCTTACCCAGGCTATTGACTGAGCTAGGTACCAGGCATTCTGTGAGGCCCCAGGGGGTTAAGAAATGAATTAAATATGCTCTCCTGCCCTCTTTGAACTGAATCTAACAAGGAGACTTAAGAACTATTTTGTAATTTCTAATTATATTTTCTGAATTTCAGAGTTTAAATATTGTACTTCAACATGAGTCATACCTTTATTTATATATTGGTTTGTCTCAGCTGTGTTATGGGTTAGTGGGAGGAGACCATACATACCTATATACAGAGAGTACACACATGCTATTGATATTACATGCATACACACACACCCCCAAAGTGAAGTTCCATGCTCATTTTATTTAATAAAGACTAGACAGGCCTTGTAGACAACAGCTCCCTGGAGCAGGAGCAAGTGAAGCATGTTTCTGAACCATTTGTCAAGTCATACCGCATAGGCTGTCCCTGGCCAGCTTCCAGCAACCCTGCAAAGGGAAGCAAGGGTGTTGGCAGATACAAGGAGTTTAACTTTACATCATACCACAGCCCTTTTTCACGTGGGTTTTACTTCATCATTGACAAAGGACTTATACAAATATTTCCATCTAAGTCAGTAGCTTTCAAACTTGTTTGGCTACGATTTATGGCAAGAAATTCATCTGACATACTCCCATTTGGTCATCCAATTCATTTAATGTATATTTACTGTAATACTCCCAAGTGCCAGGCCCTGTTGTAGATACAGGCGGATATGTTCTCCTGGAGAAGGTAAACAATAAACAAGTAAAATATAATCAAGAGTCAGATGATGATAAAGCAATGGAGGAAAAACAAATGAGGGAAGGAGGATAGGAAAAGTAGGGGGATAGGAAATTGGTGTTTTAAAAAGGGCAGCCAGGAAAGGCCCCTGTGAGAACATGACATGGACTACAGTCCTGCAGGAAGAGGATGAGTAGGCCATGAGGACATCAGAGCAGGAAGAGTAAAAAGGATCAGCAAAATCGATGTGCTGAAGTAGCCCCAGCCAAAGCATGTTCCGGTCACATTTATGCCAGTTGTGGGCGTTAGACGAGTCACTTTCCCTCGCTGAGCCTGTTTCCTTCTTTGCAAAATGAAGATGTGCTGCTTGATCCTCTCTAGACACCTTTTTGCCTCAAACATTTTTAAGTATCTGTGTTCTAAGGACCCTCTTATGTCTTATTCCAGGTAGAAGTATACATATGCGTGTGTGTGCGTGTGTGTATTTATAGGTATATACCATAAAAATGGTGGGATAAAATTTCATAAAAATTAACAGCCTAATTACTTGCAAAATGCTCTAATACTTTTCATTCTTTTCTATGCAGTTTTTTAAAATGCTGGTTACACCCAAGTAAATTGATTCACTATCAACTAATATTGTTAAAAAACTGTTTACAGACATTGAAATCTTGGTTGTGGAGCCAAATTTCACATCGGCAAAACTACCTACTCATCCAAGTAAAAAAAAAAAAAAAAAAAAAAAAAAACTGGCTCAGTGCTGGAGGCTGCCTCTGCCCTCAGCTTTCAACACCCAGAAAACCCATATGCCCACACAGTCCTGCAAAACCAGAGGAAAGGCTTAAGTGTTAAAACAACTCTGGCCTCAAATCCCAGCTATGCCACTGTTTTCCTTTGACATTAAGCAAACTACATAACCACACTGAGGCTTAGGTTTCTTGTCAGAATAATGGAAATGATGATAAGGATTAAGTCATAAAATACACACAGAGTGGCTGATGAAGTATCTAGCACTTAATTGAAACTTCATAAATTGATGGTGGTGGTGAGGATGGAGGTAGAGATAAACTAGAGCAAAAAGAACAGCTTCATCCACCAAGGCCCTTAGAATCTAAAATGTTAAAGAAACAGAACTAGATATTATAAATGCCTGCAATGGTCTTAGTAATAATTGTTACAGAAGGAAGAATGTGTGTTTCCAAACTGTTTCTTTCAGTTTCTTCCCATTCCTAAACCCTCTCCTCCCTCCTTCAGCCAACTATATGGAAACGGATTTGAAGAAGTACAAAGTCATGCGTTCAATGGTACGACAGTGATTTCGCTGTAAGTATTTGCTTATATCCCCAGCTCAGGAATAAAAAATGAAATATTATTCTTGCTACCAGATCACATTCAATCTTCAGCAACTAACTCAGGGCAAAAATAAACTTTCAAATGGCTAGCCCTCAGTGTTTCATGCATGTTACTAGGCAACTGGGTGGCTGGAAACCCCAGAGCACCCTGATTCCAAAGACAGATGCAGCCTGGATACATTGAAGTTGACAGTTTACTGAAATATTCAACACCCTACTTTATGCCTCCTCCAACTCAGTGCCTCCCTCTCTAGCCCCCTCACTCAGGTTGATGGTGTGTTAGAGGCAGCACAATTTCAGAAAGAAATTCTTCCCTTAGCCCCACTGCAAAGAAATCAGATACCACCACCATTTACTAGCCTAATCAGCCACAACAGACCCACTCAGAGAGTCCCATCTCTGTACTGCTAGTGCAAGATGAAGCTCATTTTCCACAAGGTAGGGAGATGTGTGCTTTCACCACACCCTACTCAGTTCTTCATGTTAACAGCATTTCACTCAAGAAGAGCATCGCCACTGTCTCCTTCATTGCTCTCAACCTTTTTCCTTCTATGGATCCTCTTCTAAAAGAGTGGCACGTTCACAAAGTTTGTGGGGCTGGGGACATTTGAACCATAGCAAGTAAAGGGTGAGGTGACAGTCACCCTACAATTTGTGCATAAGAAAAACTAAGAGCATATGAAAAGTTCAATTAAAGCCAAAATTAAGGAAAATAAACAAAAGGCTTTTAAAATAATTAAGTTGTATAAACCATGTAAACCATGATCTATAATAATGCTTCTCAAACTTTCACACACCTAAGAAGAACCTGCAGATTGTTAAAACACAGATTCCTGGGTCCTACCCCCAAAAACTTTGCAGTAGGACTAGGTAGGGCCTGAGAATTTGCAGTTTTAACAAGCTTCAGGAGATGCTGATGCTGTCAGTCTGAAATTGGGTAGTACAGTCTAAAGTTGGGTAGCACAATTTACTACAGTGTGCTATTCATTATTAATTATAGATATCTAACCAAAGACTCTTCGTGCTATATAGTTTGGTGGCTAAGAGAATAGACTTAAGAGACACTGATGGGGACTCAAACTCCAGTTCCACTATTTAACAGCTGGTATGACCTTCAGCAAGTTACTTAACCTATCTAAGCCACAGTGTCCTCATTCATAAAATGGATCCACTAATAGGCTTGTTTTTTTTGTTTGTTTGTTTTTTTGTTTTTGAGATGGAGTTCTTTGCTCTTGTTACCCAGGCTAAAGTGCAATGCCGTGATCTCAGCTCACTGCAGAATAGGCTTGTTTTGAAGATACCCCCACCAAAATGAAAAGATCTGTTTCATATCCTCAGTACTTAACACAGTGCTTGGCATATAGTAAGTGCTTACTTATTGTGTGCTATATAACAGAATTAATTATGGGTAAACCATTAAACAAGATTATATTTCTATGTGCTTAGCGCAGCATAGTAGCATGTACTAAGTGTCCAAGAAATGGTAGAATTTTTAAAGTTGTTCTCCTATCATGGTGTAAATTTGCCCTCATGTTCTTGTTGACTTGATGACTTAATGAAAGGTTCATTAGCAAGAACCCTTAAGTTAATGAAGGGTTCAGTCTGGCCAATTGAATCGGTTTCTGCCAAACTTAAATCAGAGGCATTTAGATAATCTCCTGACACAGTCCTCTCAGATGCCTCATTCCGTTATTCACTCAACAAATGTTTACCAAGCATCAGCTGCGTTTGAAGAAACATGCTGTATTTTGAGTGGGAATGAACATGGTTAAGTCCTGGTGTTGCCCTACAGGAGCTTACAGCCTAGGAGGAAGCATCTCCAAATGGTGTATAAACTGCACATTAAGTACTAACTAAAACAGAAGGCAAAGCATGAAGCCTCCCAAGAGAGAGGTGAAGTCCTCTGGGATTTCAAAGACAAGAAGAAAGGAAATTATAGAAAGCCTCTGAGAAAGGGGGGGCTTTGAGCTGGGCATAACTTAGGCAAAAATAGAGGGAAAATGCCTTCCAAGCAGGGGTCAGCAAGAAGAATGGTCCAGAGGAGGAAGTATAGGATGTGTTCATAGACCATCAGATAGTACTTTCTAGATGTGAGTTAGGGACTAAACAGGAAGGGCTTTAGATGCTGTAGTAAAGAGTTTAGACTCTTTTGCAGAAAATGAGAAGCCATTGAAAGTTCTGAGATAGAAATATGAGATGAGTGCTTAAAGAAGGTTCATCTGTGAGTAGGAAGGATGGAAGGCTGGAAGGGATAGGGCATGGCTAGAGACACAAATGCCAGGGTCATCTGAATGGAAGGGATGGCTGAAGTCCTGTGTGGCTGAGGTTACCTGAACAGGGGAATAATAAGAGAACTTAATATTAAATTAAAGGGAAACAAGATGAACAAGAGAAGCAAGAGCAAAATAAAGGAGATGGGAGGCAAAACAACACAGTATGTCTGTGTGAGGTCAGAAAAAACAGAAATATAGGAGGGAAGATTTCAGGTGGTCAGCAGAATTTCAGCTGTTACAGAGCTGCCAAAATGGGTATGAACTGTGAAAAGTCCAATTCGTCAACATACTGTATACCCCATATCTCACTGTTGCAAGAAAGAGGAAACCAAGAACATGAGTCAGTTTGCCAAGAACAAACTTCATTTCATTCAACAAACATTTATTAAGCACCACTGACATACTAAGCACTGTGTTAGGCACTGAGTCTGCAATGGTAGAGCGGACACAGTCCCTGCCCTTATGAAGTTTCTGTTCTATCAGAAGAGACAGACAAAAAAAGCAATAAATAATAGACAAAATTATTATAAGAGTAATATGTACTATGAAGGAAATAACCCATTACTGAGATCTGAGAGAGTATGAGGGGTGACCAATTTAGGCAAGGTACTCAGGATGGCCTCACCGAGGACATGATATTTAGGCTGAGCCTGAAGGATGACCAGGGTTCCACTGTGGCAGCAGTGAGGGGGGCATGCTACAGAAAGAGGGAGCAGATGTGCAAAGCCCCTGAGTTGAAAAGGAACTAAGTTGGTAAGTTCCAGGAATTAAGAGGCCAGTGTGGCTGGAGTATCTTTAGCAAAGGAGTGACTGGTGAGGGAGGAGATGGAGCAGGATTGAGCAGCCATGGGAAAGGAGTCTGAATTCTCTTCCAAGGGTAAGGCCACCCGTTGAAGAGTTTAAGCAGGGAGGGAGGAGCAGTCAAAACTGTCAAGCAAAATGGTCATGCTATACATTCAGCCCTTCCTCATAAATAGACCTGTTCAAAGTTGTTCAGAACACAATGATCCTGAAGTCCTGCAAAGTTCACAAACACCTGACTTACTAAGCAGCAAGGGAAAGACAGGTGCAGTCCCAGAAGGTTGCCCTGAGGCACCCAAGGTGTCTGGGAGTCAGTGTCTTGTTCACAGAGTACCCAGCTGGGAAAGCTTTGGTGGTGCTTGTGGGTTCTTCCACTGTGCTTCGAAAGGTCATCCTGCATGTGTGTCTCACACCAGCAAGGTCACGCCATTGGGAGAATTCTAAAAAGTGACCCCCAGGAAAAAGGGGGAAATGGATTTATTTTTTGACCAAGTTACATAACACAGAGTTATCAGTATATAGAAAGATCTGGGTTTTAATAAAATATGTGAAATACTCTGTCTGAAATTTGAACAATTAGTCTGACTGGGCTGACACAAGAATAATTTTCTCACAAAGCCCAGTTTCCATGATTTATAACTATAACTGAACATAATTAAAACAAACCAAATCAGGAAGAAGAACCACAGAGGTTTAGGAAGAAAAATTTCTTTTGATTTAGATTTTAAACAGCATTTGACTCTCACAACCTCATCTCTCTGAAAGTGGAAATACACCCAGGGGATGGGATAATGTGAGACTGACAGGTGCATTCTGATGAAACGGCTGAGGGTTTCCAAAGAAAATGTTAAGTAGAAACGTGGAAAACAGCCACCCAGAGAGTGAGATGCAAGGGCTTTTGCAGTTCTTAAATGGCAAGGGGGTGGCGAATGGGTGTTACTGTGTTTGCTCTGCTGTGTATACTGTAATGGTGGTAAGAGAATCATGTTCCTATGCTTGAAATCATCACACCGATGATAGAGCATACTGTGCCCGCCATTCGGGGTGTTTCAGATGCTCTGTGAGTCATGACCATTCTCTTACAGAGAGGAAGTGCTCAGAAGAAGGCTGGCAGGCTTGAGCCCAGGGATTCCTCATCTAGCTCCCTCGACTACCCAGAGAAGGGCCTGTGCTTGGAGATACCAGTGTCAGGGGCCAGACCGGAAGCTGCCTAGCAGGACCAGGATGTGCTGCTCCTAAGAAGTTTAGCTTGAATGACTGAGCTAAAGGCAGCAGAGCCCTCAGGGAGCTTCTTCCATAACAGCTTTCGGCTTCTTCCACAGCCTTGAGAGTAGTGGCCCTCAATGCTTTTGTTTCCATGACTCACACACACACCTGGCGATGATCATTTACACTGCACAGCCCCATGGGACACTGAGGTTATGGGGTAATTTTCTACAGAGGCTGTAAGTCCTCCTCTTTCTCATCCACTGAGAAATGCATGTCTGAAAGAAAAAGAATGCAAATTACACTACAAAAGGAATAACTTTGAAACAAGATGAGCAAGAGAAGCAGGGCAAAATAAAACAGATGGGAGGAAAACCAACACACCTTGTCTGTGTGAGGTCAGGAAAAAAGGGATAACTTTCAACGAACCCTACTTTTTCAAGTATTTGCAAACTTCGGTATATTACTATTAGCACGCTCAGAGACATCCAAGGTCACAAGGGCTGAGAGGCTAACAAAGAGCAGGCTGCACTTCAGCCCTTCAGCCTTGGCCTCTTGGAGCAGCATTTTCATCCTTACCCAGCTGCCTGGTGGTAAACTTTCAGAACTCCAGGACAGGAGCGGGTGAGTACTTTAAGCTGTAGAACAGAGTTCTACCAAGTGAGAAGGGAATGGAAGAAAATAAGATGTGGCCGAACACACATGCCAGCAATTTCATAATTTCATCAAGGACTAGCATGTCTTTCTTCCACTCTCCCTCCACTTCCCCCTTTTTTCCCTTCTAACCCTATATACCATGCACATAGTTTGGTCTAAACATGTGTAGACGCAGCTATGAATGCTTACACATGAGGTACAAACTCCACTAAGGAAAATGTCCTTCCCCACAGGGTACTAAAGGAAAATGTACATCTGGAGAGGATACACAATGGAGCCTTCCGTGGGGCCACGGGGCCCAGCATCTTGTGAGTAGAGGGGTGCTGCCTCCCCTCCTTGCCCAGTGCACCCCAACAGGACTAATTAGGGCATCCCTCCATGTCATCCCCAGGCTGATATGTGGGGCATCAGTCTCTACACCTGAAAAGGCTGCTGTTGGAAAGACCAAGTGTATCACCCCAAACTGAGAGGCTTAAACAACAGAAATTTCGTCTTATAGTTCTGGAAGCTAGATGTCCAAAATCCAGGTGTCAGCAGGGGTTGGCTCCCTCTGAGGGCTGTGAAGGAAGCGTCTATTCCAGGTCTCTCCTTGCTCGTGCTAGCTCTTTCTAGTTGGGGCAACATAACTCCAATCTTCACATGGTATTGTGTGTGTGTGTGTGTGTGTGTGTGTGTGTGTGTGTCCAAATCGCAACCTCTTTTTTTTTTTTTTTTTTTTGAGATGGAGTCTCGCTCTGTCGCCCAGGCTGGAGTGCAATGGCACAATCTCAGCTCACTACAACCTCTGCCTCCCAGGTTCAAGCAATTATCCTGCCCCAGCCTCCCAAGTAGCTGGGATTACAGGCACCCACCACCATGCTCAGCTTATTTTTTGTATGTTTAGTAGAGACAGGGTTTCGCCATGCTGGCCAAGCTGGTCTCGAACTCCTGATCACGTGATCCACCTGCAGTCGGCCTCCCAAAGTGCTGAGATGACAAGTGTGAGCCACCATACCTGGCCCAAATTGCTCCTTTAATAAGAATAGCAGTCATATTGGATTAGAGCCCACCCAATAATCTCATTTTAACTTCAATACCGCTGTAAAGACCCTATCTCCAAATAAGGTCTCAGGTATTGGGGACTTCAAGATATGAACTTTTGGAGTGTGGGACACAATTCAACCTATAACATCAAATATGGGTGGAGAGTGGCCTCATGTGCTGGCAGAGAGGCTGGCTACCCACCTGGAATCCACTCATAGAAATCTAAGGCCAGAGATCTGGCTTGCCTCTGGCAATTGGCTGAACAGGGCTGAACTGCTGTCAGACTCTCTGAGGGTGCAAGGATTAGGGTCAGCCTCTCTCAGTTAAAAGGGGTTTCAAGGACATATGGGAAGGTTAGGAGGAACAGAACATGGAATCTGACAAAGCCTTGAGAAGCCTGAAACCTCCAATGTCCTGCAGAGACCTGAAGCTGCAGTCAGGCTTTAGGGAGAAACGCAACCGAGTTCCAGATACTGCACTGTTCTAACATAGGGCAACCGGTTACCCCATCACAGAGGTGGCAGTCCACGACGCCCTGCTCTAGCAGCTGTTATTTATCCAACAAACATTGATTGAACCTATCCTATGTACCAGGCGCCATTGTGAACAGACTATTCTGTAAGCAGAATAGCCCTGGTCCTTGCCCTTAACGAGATGACAGTCACATAAGGCAGACAACAGCAAACAGGCAAAGTGATTAACAGTCATGTCATTTTACAATGAACAAAAGTTCTAGAAAAATGGTGAGCAGGGTAACCCACTTCATTTGTTTGTTTATTCATCCATGTATTCACTAACTTATGAACCCAATTCTGTGGTAGTCACTGGATTAGACATCAGGGAAATGGCAGAGAATGAGAAGAGACAAACACTTCTGCCTTCATTAAAAGGGGAATATAGACACAGATCGAATAAGTAAATAAAATATGTAGTGGTCCAAATGCTATTGGTTGTAGAGGGGAAAACTCATTCCCTAGAGGGGGAAATTGCCATTTTAAAGGGGATGGTGAGGGAAGACTATCCCGAAAGTGTCATTTGAACGAACACCTAAAGGAAGCAAGTTATGTGATTATCTGCAGGAAAAGTGTTCAAGGAGGGGGAACAGCAAAAGCAAAGGTCTGAGACAGGATCTTACATTGTGTATTTGAAGAATGGCAAGGAGGCCAATTTGGCAGAGTGAGCAAAGAAGAGAATCATAGAATATGAGGACAGAACTGTGGAAGAGAGTTGGACCATGGGGTGGCAGAGGTGGGGGCTGTGGTCACTATATGGACTTTGTCTTTTCTTTAAGTGAGATGGGGAGGCTTTGGAGTTCTGAGCAAGGGAAGGAAATGAACTGTCCTGGTTATTCTTCATACTGTAGAACCTGCCAAGATCAACTCATGGCTCTGTCTACTTTCTATTTCCACCATTATAAAACCCAAAGTCTGTCTACTTCCTAGCTCCTGCCCCTCTCAGCCCCTCACTCTATTTCCTCCTTCCTGCTATCCACTTTTGACTGTCTACTTCCTGTTCCTGCCACTACTGAGCCTGACTGTGCTAGTTCCTAGCTCCCACTGTCAACTCCTGACTTCATTTATTTCCTAGCTCCTGCTACTGTCCAGTTCTCACTGTCTACTTCTTAAGTCCTGCCACTATACTTCCTAACTCCTACCACTAAAATTCCTACATCTTTCTGCTTCCTAACTTCTGCCACTATCAATCCTAACTCCCTCTAATCTCCACTCAACCTCATAACTTCTGTTTACTTACGACTTCCACTATTGTGTGGCTCCGCCCACTGCTTTCTCTGCTCTCAACTTCTGGCAACTTTATCCCAGGAGTCTTTTTCTGCATATCTCATAGGCAAAGTATACCAGACTCCAAATCGTGTAGGTTGGCTAAATACTCTTCAGTTTAGCACATCCTGTAGGCAGAGCTGTAACAGCAAGCTGGCCTTCTACTTGGTCACTAGGAAAACAAAGAGAGCTCCCTCTGGCTCAAGTACAAAACACAATAAAGTCACTGTGTTCCCATGGCAGTAAGAGCTGCTTCTCAGCTGCTTAGAAGTGACTTTGGGCACTACAGACCCCTACACTCTCATGTCCAAAACAGTAGCGCCAGACCCAGGTCTCTTCCTTCCCACCTTCCCAAGAGGCTGTTCTCATTATATTCCTAGGATTTGAATCGTATCTGGAAGCATCCACTCCACCCTCACTCAAAAAGTATTTCCCCCATCCACTAGTCTGTTATTAAGACTGAAAACCCAGTATCAGAGGTTCACTGCCTTGTAATGAGGCCATCCCATTTCTAAGAACCTAATTTTAAATGCACCCACTCAAAAGACAAACAAAAAATCCACCAGATCTTCAAAGAGTCCCGTGCTCAAGCCCTGAGATAAAAACCCTATAAAGCAGAATGAGAACCCTGGTTACTTAATGAACAGGGACACAAAAGCAGAGAAGTCTGAAGCCCCTGGGACTAATTTTGCTGCCTTAATTTTTCCACTGAGGGCCTACACCATCATCATTGCCTGTTGTCAAATTTATCTTCCATCAACCACCTACTGGTCCCCTCCCATGCACTGAGCACCACATCTTGGGGACAATTGCTGAGGGGACCTATGCTGCTGGAAAAGTTTTGTGAGGCATCAGCAACAGCCACTTAGAAGATGAGAAGAATTGTTTAATTTCCATTGACTCTTCCTTTTCCTAACATTTAATGTGTTAGGAATTTTCTTGGACGTTGCCTCAAGTCTGGTAAAACCAAAGGGTTCAGGACCTTGTTGACAAAGCCTGAGCTTTCCACACAGTTCTCCTTGCAAGGTTGTTTGCTTGCTTTGAACAGATGAATCAAGTTTGCATTAGAGAACATGCATTCGCTTCCTAGGTAGATGATGGCTAATGCCACGCAGCAGCTCTTAATAAGGTAACCAGCCTATGCTTCATGAAAACATCTCCTGCAGGGCTTAATCAATCAAAGACTGAAGCATCTGAAGCCCTGAATAATTCTCCCTGGGGTAGAGCACAAAAGCTGATATAACTGCATGTGCTAGCTGTCTCATAAAGCAAGTGATTATTTCACTTCTGCTAAGTGGAGAGAAGTAGAGGAAGAGAGAGGGTGGGGTAAAGGAGTTGGAAGAGGCGAGAGAGAGAGAAATGCTAATGTATGGTAGGTACAAGAAGTTATACTTAACCTTGAAAAAAATAATGAGATGCACATGAGAAAAAATACAGAATCACTTTTTTGAATTCAGATCTTAGAGTAATTGAAATGGAGAATTAAGGGAAAAGCAGAATGAAGAAAAGATTTCTCAGAGCCTAAAACGATACTATTGTTGAGGGAGGTACCATTCTCTGAAGAAAATGTATAAAATAAATAAATAAAAAGCATTTCTCCCCTTTATTGTTCAGGGATATTTCTTCCACCAAATTGCAGGCCCTGCCGAGCCATGGCCTAGAGTCCATTCAGACGCTAATTGCCACGTCATCCTATTCTCTAAAAAAATTGCCATCGAGAGAAAGATTTGTCAATCTCCTGGATGCCACACTGACTTATCCCAGCCACTGCTGTGCTTTTAGAAACGTGCCAACAAAAGAGTAAGTAAAAAATAAAATTTAAGCCTGCCCAAGCTGTGGCAGAAATTCAGATTTTGAAATGGTCAGTGAATAGACAATTCCATTCCCCTTCACTGCCTGCCTTCTCGGCCAACTTCATAGACATGGGATCACTTTCAGATAGATAAAAAGAAAACAAACTCTTCTGTTTCCTTGTGAAAACTGTTGCAAAATAATTGATTCACTGTGCAGCTAGAAGACCTTTGTGGCCCATTCTGGGTAAACTGAATTAGAGGCCACTTCAGCATTTGCAGAATAGAATACAAAACTGGCATCTCAAATGATTTGTTCTAATCCTTATCAGAAAGCATCATTTTTTTCATATATATATTTTATTGCACTTTAAGTTCTGGGGTACATGTGAAGAACATGCAGGATTGTTGCACAGGTACATACATGGCAATGTGGTTTGCTGCCTCCATCCCCCCATTACCTATATCTGGCATTTCTCCCCATGTTATCCCTCCCCAGCCCCCCACCCCCTGCTATCCCTCCCCTACTCCCCCACAAAAGACCCCAGCGTATGATGCCCCCCTCTCTGTGTCCATGTGTTCTCATTGCTCAACACCTGCCTATGAGTGAAAACATGCAGTATTTGATTTTCTGTTCTTGTGTCAGTTTGCTGAGAATGATGGTTTCCAGATACATCCATGTCCCTACAAAGGACATGAACTCATTGTTTTTTATGCTTGCATAGTATTCCATGGTGTATATGTGCCACATTTTCCCTGTCCAGTCATCATCAATGGGTATTTGGGTTGGTTCCAAGTCTTTGCTATTGTAAACAGTGCTGCAATGAACATTCATGTGCATGTGTCCTTATAGTAGAATGATTTATAATCCTTTGGATATTTACCCAGTATTGGGATTGCTGGGTCAAATGGAATTTCTATTTCTAGGTCCTTGAGGAATCGCCACACTGTCTTCCACAATGGTTGAACTAATTTACACTCTCACCAATAGTGTAAAAGTGTTCCTATTTCTCCACATCCTCTCTAGCATCTGTTGTCTCCAGATTTTTTAATGATTGCCATTCTAATTGGCATGAGATAGTATCTCAATGTGGTTTTCATTTCCATTTCTCTAATCACCAGTGATCATGAGCATTTTTTCATATGTTTGTTGGCCTCATATATGTCTTCTTTTGAAAAGTATCTGTTCATGTCCTTCACCCACTTTTGAATCGTTTTTTTTCTTGTAAATCTGTTTTAGTTCTTTGTAGATTCTGGATATTAGCCCTTTGTCAGATGGGTAGATTGCAAAAATTTTTTCCCATTCTGTTGGTTGCCAGTACACTCTAACGATTGTTTCTTTTGCTGTACAGAAGCTCTGGAGTTTAATTAGATCCCACTTGTCTATTTTGGCTATTGTTGCTAATGCTTTTAGTGTTTTAGTCATGAAGTCCTTGCCTATGCCTATGTCCTGAATGGTTTTGATGAAGCTTTTTCTAGGGTTTTTATGGTGTTAGGTCTTATGTTTAAATCTTTAACCCATCTGGAGTTAATTTTAGTATAAGGAGTCAGGAAGGGGTCCAGTTTCTGCTTTCTGCACATGGCTAGCCAGTTTTCCCAACACCATTTATTAAACAGGGAATCCTTTCCCCATTGCTTGTTTTTGTCAGGTTTGTCAAAGATCAGATGGTTGTAGATGTATGGCATTGCCTCCGAGGCCTCTGTTCTGTTCCATGGGTCTATATCTCTATTTTGGTACCAGTACCATGCTGTTTTGATTACTGTAGACTTGCAATATAGTTTGAAGTCAGGTAGCATGATGCCTTCAGCTTTGTTCTTTTTGCCTAGGATTGTCTTGGCTATGCAGGCTCTCTTTTGGTTCCATATGAAGTTTAAGGTGTTTTTTTCCAGTTCTGTGAAGAAGGTCATTGGTAGTTTGATGGGGATAACATTGAATCTATAAATTACTTTGGGCGCTATGGCCATTTTCACAATATTGATTCTTCCTAACCCTGAGCATGGAATATTTTTCTATCTGTTTGTGTCCTCGGTTATTTCCTTAAGCAGTGGTTTGTAGTTCTCCTTGAAGAGGTCCTTTACATTCTTTGTTAGTTGTATTCCTCGGTATTTTATTCTCTTTGTAGCAATTGTGAATGGCAGTTCCCTCTTGATTTGCCTCTCTTTTAGTCTGTTGTTGGTGTATAGGAATGCTTGTGATTTCTGCACATTGATTTTGTATCCTGAGACTTTGCTAAAGTTCCTTATTAGTTTCAGGAGATTTTGGGCTGAGACAATGGGGTCTTCTAAATATACAATCATGTCATCTGCAAATAGAGACAATTTGACTTCCTCCTTTCTGAATTGAATACCCTTTATTTCTTTTTCTTGCCTGACTGCTCTGGCTAGAACTTCCAATACTATATTGAATAGGAGTGGTCAGAGAGAGCATCCTTGTCTAGTGCCAGATTTCAAAGGGAATGCTTCCAGTTTTTTGCCCATTCAGTATGATATTGGCTGTGGTCTGTCACAAATAGCTTTTATTATTTTGAGATATGTTCCAACAATACCTAGTTTATTGAGAGTTTTTAGCATAAAGCGCTGTTGAATTTTGTCAAAGGCCTTCTCTGCATCTATTGAGATAATCATGTGGTTTTTGTATTTGGTTCTGTTTATGTGGTGGCTTACATTTATAGACTTGCAAATGTGGAACCAGCCTTGCATCCCTGGTATGAAGCCTATTTGATCATGATGGATAAACCTTCTGATGTGCTGTTGCAATTGGTTTGCAAGTATTTTATTGAAGATTTTTGCATCTATCTTCATCATATATATTGGCCCGAAATTTTATTTCCTTGTTGAGTCTCTGCCAGGTTTTGGTATTAGGATGATGTTGGTTTCATAAAATGATTTGGGAAGGATTCCCTCTTTCTGGATTGTTTGAAATAGTTTCAGAAGGAGTGGTACAAGCTCCTCTTTGTATGTCTGGTAGAATTTGGCTGTGAACCCATCTGGACCTGGGCTTTTTTTGTTTGGTAGGCTATTAATTGCTGCCTCAACTTCAGCCTTGTTTATGATCTATTAAGGGTTTTGACTTCTTCCTGGTTTAGGCTTAGGAGGGTGCAAATGTCCAGGAATTTAGCCATTTAGAGTTGTTTGTAGTAATCTCTGATGGTAGCTTGTATTTCTGTGGAATTGGTGGTGATATCCCCTTTATTGTTTTTTATGGCATCTATTTGATTCTTCTCTCTTTTCCTTTTTATTAATCTGGCTAGTGGTCTATTTTGTTGATCTTTTCATAAAACCAGTTCCTGGATTTATTGATTTTTTTGAAGGGTTTTTTGTGTCTCTATCTCCTTCAGTTCTGCTCTGATCTTAGTTGTTTCTTGTCTTCTGCTAGCTTTTGAGTTTTTTGATCTTGCTCCTCTAGCTCTTTCCATTTTGATGATAGGATGTTGATTTTAGAACTTTTCTTGCTTCTCATGTGGGGATTATTGCTGTAAATTTCCCTCCAGACACTGCTTAAAATGTGTCACAGAGATTCTGGTACACTGTGTCTTTGTCCTTATTGGTTTCAAATCACATCTTATTCCTGCCTTAATTTCGTTATTTACCCGATAGTCATTCAGGAGTAGGTTGTTCAATTTCCATACAGATGTGTGGTTTTGAGTGAGTTTCTTAATCCTCAGTTCTAATTTGATTGCACTGTAGTCTGAGAGACTATTTGTTATGATTTTCATTCTTTTGCATTTGCTAAGGAATGTTTTACTTCCAATTATGTGGTCGATTTTAGAGTAAGTGTGATGTGGTGCTGAGAAGAATGTATGTTCTGTGGATTTGGGATGGAGAGTTCTGTAAAAGTCTATTAGGTTTGCTTGGTCCAGGTCTGAGTTCAAATCCTGGATATCCTTGTTAATTTTCTGTCTCATTGACCTGTCTAATACTGACAGTGGAGTGTTAAAGTCTCCCACTATTGTTGTGTGGGAGTCTAAGTCCCTTTGTAGGTCATTAAGAACTTGCTTTATGTATCTGGGTGCTCCTGTATTGGGTATGTATATATTTAGGGTCATTAGCTCTTCTTGTTGCATTGATCCTTTTACCATTATGTAATGCCCTTCTTTGTCTCTTTTGATCTTTGCTGGTTTAAAGTCTATTTTATCAGAGACTAGGATTGCAACTCCTGCCTTTTTTTGCTCTCCATTTTCTTGGTAAATCTTCCTCCATCCCTTTGTTTTGAGCCTATGTGTATCCTTGCACATGAGATAGGTTTCCTGAATACAGCACACTGATGGGTTTTGGCTTTTTATCCAATTTGTGAGTCTGTGTCTTTTGATTGGAGCATTTAGCCCATTTACATTTAAGGTTAATATTGTTATGTGTGAATTTGATCCTGCCATTTTGATGCTAGCTGGTTGTTTTGCTTGTTAGTTGATGCAGTTTCTTCATCGTGTCTATGCTCTTTACCATTTGGTACATTTTTGGAGTGGCTGGTACTGGTTGTTCCTTTCTATATCTAGTGCTTCTTTGAGGAGCTCTTGTAAGGTAGGCGTGGTGGTGACAAAATCTCTCAGCAATTGTGTGTTCATAAAGGATTTTATTTTTCCTTCACTTATGAAGCTTAGATTGGCTGGATATGAAATTCTAGGTTGAAAGTTCTTTTCTTTAAGGGTGTTGAATATTGGTCCCCACTCTCTTTTGGCTTGTAGGGTTTCTGCCAAGAGATCCACTGTGAGCCTAATGGGCTTCCCTTTGTGGGTAACCCAATCTTTCTCTCTGTCTGCCCTTAGCATTTTCTCCTTCATTTCAACCCTGGTGAATCTGGTGATTATGTGCTTTGGCGTTGCTCTTCTTGCGGAATATCTTTGTGGTATTCTCTGTATTTCCTGGACTTAAATATTGGCCTGCCTTGCTAGGTTGAGGAAGTTCTCCTGGATGATATTCTCAAGAGTGTTTTCCAGCTTTGATTCATTCTCTTCATCACATTCAGGTACACCTAACAAACATAGAATAGGTCTTTTCACATAATCCCATATT